TCCGGCTTACACCGCGAGAGACGTATCGCGCAATCTCGGGATTGCGCGGAATGAATTCACCGACATGGCAAACAAGTACAAAGCCGAGAATAAGGTTTGCGTCCTAACATATGTGATATACACACTAACAATAAGCTCATAAGAAAACCTCTCACCTTTGAAGTACTCAACCCAAGTTTGTTCCTTTAAAAAGAGTTAAAATCGTATGCCTCACAAACAGAACTCCAACCATGGTGGATCGTAAGAACGTGTTTAACCGACCAAGAAGGCAAAGTTAGATATACTGACAAACCTGTAATGGATTGTAGTCTTGAAGAAATATACCAAAGCAACAGTGTCACTTTAATAATGGTGGATTTGAACGATGCATTTGCACCTGTTATTCATGACAATATCATCATCACACGTACAAAAAGTTTCGAGGAGGTTTATTATAGAATTTTACTTGTCGCAGACGACCGAATTAAAGTTGGTGATGTCATAGGCATGTTGACCAAATCAGACGACCCACTCTTCGAGTTCAAAAGAGATGAGATAATAGTTTGTTTTATTATCATTATACTATTTGTTCATCACAACGATAGGTAACACTGTAGAGAGCAATTTCATACTTGGTTCGACTCAATCGACTTGTCAGAGTAAAGTCGAGCGATTACACTTTTTCTGTACCAGAAAGCAAAACACCAACAAAGAAAAGAGTCTGTTTGATCGTCGACGGAAGTGTTGTTTCAACTCTGATGACTGGTATACCTAAAACAGACGATATCAAGAGAATAGCTGTGCATTTGTTCGAGGTTGGGAGACTTACCACAGACCAAGTGTATGACTTAATATGTCTGATAGACTTGTTGAATGACCAAGAATGCACAAAAAGCTCGATTGAGCAGTACAACAAATTCTTTGAAGTTGCAAAGTCTTTAGTGTTTGTTCTGTTAATACACACCACTTATTCTATTAATAATTTTATAATAATTTAATAGTAAATTACTCTCTATAAATACTCATAATTAGAAACATCGTCAAAACTCTACAACATCTTATCTGTGACGAAGAAGTGTTTGGACTCTGTGACGGCGTTGAAATGGTGAAGATGGAGTGTTTGGGCAAATTGAGTGAAAATGAAATTGAGACGTATCGAATGAAGTACACATCGGCGATACTTGGGTGTAATAGTCGTTTAGTCTCTGTCGAACACCAACCGTATTGCCCACAAATAGTCCCACACACTGTACTCAACAGTTATCTGTTCTCTGTTTTCTTGAGTTTTGTATATAACAGTGGTGTACCGACTATGGTTCTTCCAAGAGGGTGTTTACTCCAAACCCTCCCTAAACCATTTGATGAGTATCCATACATATTAACAACAACTTTTTCACATCGACAAGAGTCTGTGTCGAGAAGTAATGCACTTCTTTATCTGAATGAAGCTCTGAAAACACAGCCTGTTGTTATTCACGCGCTATTAACTAAAAGACCTGTCTTTGAAAGAGTCGTCTTCCCCCTCGAATACTCAACTTCGAATATGAAGAACCACCCCATTATCAAAATGATGGAGAACGAACTTGGATTCAACAAGTTTTGTGGGCGAATTGTGTTAATAAAGAATAACACCACTCCATACGACAAAAACAATATCAAGTTTGAAGAGTGGGACTTGTTTGAAATAGTCTTTGGAATCCCAATGGATGACTTGCAAGAGAACAAACAATGTGTTGCAAGTTTACAAAAGCTGCTCATGGTCAACAAAAAGGACGAGATGTGGAATACATCACTCAGTATCGTACAACTCTTCTTTAGATTCCTCGAGAAGTACGGCTTCGATGCAACAGCTCTAACCAATGCTCATGCGTTATGTCAACCAATGTCGTTATACCCACCACAGCCTGTTTGTTTCATTAAATCCACGGCCGCGTAAATACATTTGCAATACCAAGTTTTGGTTCAATGGATGTGAAGTTATAGATCTTTGCTACTAATTATGGTATAGTTTATTTTATAATTTAAATACTATTGTTATAGTATTTGATGCTAATTCTATACATAGAGAATATTAGATAATCAATTAGAGTGTACTCCACTCATCGCGCAACAATACATTGATGATGACATCCTTTGATTTTACATTCCTGTCTTCGTTTGAGTACGCAAGCGTCGCGATTTCAAAATCATTAAAATTGAGGACTTTTTCTTCCGTGTAATAGTCTTGGTCGAAGCCAAGAAGTATTCTTGGGTCATAATAAGTGAACACATCAGGTTCTCCGTATTGTTGACATAACGCAAGAGACTTTGCAGTACACAAATTGTTCATATGATTTGGATTTCTGAAGAACGACAAATCGCTCGTTATAGAATCTGCAAGTTCGGACAAACACACCGACTTTTTGATTATTAAAAACACTTTACCACCAGTCGACTCAATTTTCGTCGATGACAAAGAACACTTCCCTTTTCGAGAAAGTGTTTGTGCCATTTTAGAAATCATTTGGTCTTGGAGCATATCAAGGAAGTCAGTGGAGTACAAGTCGATGTGTGGGACGTTCATTGTTGCATTGAATGGAATGAACTTTGGATGTTTTGCTTTGATCGAGTCCATCAATTGATTAAAGTTGGCGTTCCGACTTTGGATGAATATTGAATAGTATTTTGCTAATGTTAAGGTGAAGAGTAATATAAACACGACACGCATCTTGCTTTATCGAGTTGTTCAAAATACAAAACTCGAAATTGTTCTTCAGTTTCTATAGTTTTCGAATAATTCTTTTGAATTGAAATTAATTTTTTGTTCACAGTTTTTGATTCCTTTTTTCCCGGACTTAAACTCCATTTCTCCCATATCCATTTTAATTCTAAGCTATTCAAGAACACTACCTAACTGTAAAAACGACTCCAAAAACTCGAAAAAGTAAAAACATTTTTCAATACCAACATAAATTGTGTTTTCTTGGGAACTTGAAAAAAAAACTTCAAAATTGAGTTTCAGTTGATGGCAAACAACACCCAAGATGCAGTCGGCGATGACGCCGCATTTGTCTCCGAAGTGGACGAGAAGAAGAACTGGGAAGAGATGGTGATGAAGGCTCACCCCCATATATTGAAAATGGCGGAAGAGACTCGTGCACTCAGTGGACTTAAAGAGAATTGGCAAAACAAGACTTCGACGGCTTACAAAACCCCATCGTATGGAAGAAACCTTTCCGAAGCAAAAATGATCAATCCCGATATCTTAACGGAGCCTGATGTCGTCTTGTTGATAGCTCAATATTTAAAAGAACAAAAGATGATGGACTCGTACTCCTCATTAATAGAAGAAGTCCTTCAGAAACATCCGGAGTACAAAATTAGAAACACAGACATCGCTGATTACACCATCGACCCGACATTTGCAGGCGCGTTGGACCCACTTGTTCGACTTGGCTTACCCGACTCCGATAACATTTTTGCTAAAATGCCATTTGAAGAAGAGGACTTCCCAACACTGCCAAAGGAAGAATACGACCAGCACATCAAGTATAAAGCTGACAAAGAAGACACAACACCAATTACCGAAGAAAAGATTGTGCAGAACGAAAATTGTGAAGTTGTCTTAGAGAAGGCTGAAGGGAGCGATGTTTCTGTGGAAATACCTGCCGTCATGACGATCAATCAGTTGATCAAATACCTCTACTTGGGGTCCGACATTTATATGAAAAAATTCTTTGAAGTCTTCAGAGAATTTGTCCAACCGAATGACTTGCTTGGGAAGGTACTGCAACTTGCGAAAGACGATGTCGAAAGGTTTAAAGTGATAATGAACTTCTGGCTTGATACGCACCATCAAGACTTCACACAAGCTATGATCACACAATTGGTTGACTCTGAGAGTGGGAATGGCTTCACGGAAGATTACGTGAAAGGGAAAATGGGGAAGCCAGCAATTGGCTTTGAGAAGTTTAATATCATCTTGAAAGACCATAGCACTATGGAACAATATTTCCCTGTTATTACAACGGAAGACCAAGCGCCTGTAGATGCGAAGATACCTAAAAACATTCTCACGAACCAACTCTACTTGAAGGACATAGAACCCAACTTGATTGCGGAAGCAATTTGCTTGATTGATGAGCAAATGTATAAAACGATTTCGATGAGTGAGTTGTGCAGTGGGAGTGGACCGAATATCTCGAATGCTTTAAGAGCATACCACATTGCTATCGAATGGGTCAGACAGTCATTGTTTAATGAAAGAATCTTACCCGACCCCGATGAACCCAAAAAGTACGGGACTCAAAATGTGAAAGAGAAGTTCTTGAAGGTGTGGGAAAAGGTCAACGAGCTTGGAGATTGCCACGCCCTTGCTGTCTTTTGTACAGTATTCAACTCTGCTGAACACAAAAAGAGTTTGTTGGCTCGAGAGAATCGAACGGCTTTGACTAAGATGCTGAATTACTTCGACTCGAAGACTAGTTACTCGTCATACAGAAAAGGTATTGCCGAACACATTAAAGACAATAAAGCATTCGTCCCATTCCTCGGAATCACTTTGCACGATATCATCACCACAAAGTGCGGCTTGGAAACTACAATGCCCGACGGAAAAATCAATTTTTTGAAATTCAACTCGATCTACAACTGCTCAGAGTACTTCTGCTTGTTCAAAAAAATCAAATTCCCGATTACCCCGCTCTACCAGGTCATCTCTCTTGTGCTTAGAGGTATGTCTGAGGTCGAGTATATGGTCAACGCAAATTGATTTTTTTTAGTTTATTTTAATACAGTTTATTATTAATTGATAATACATGTGTCTTGATTCGTGGCGACTTTTAATAACATTTTTAATAACATAATATATTCATTACTATTGAATGAACTATTATGAAACTATAATACACGAACTTGGTTTCTGTGGAAAATGGCAAGTATAATTTGTTTACGAATAATTATTCCGCCCCGAAAAGGCCGAGAAAACCCCGATTTGTCGCGATTTACATCAAACGATTGAAAAGATTAAAATTCTGTGTTTGTTTCACTTTTTCATCTTGTTTTTTTCTTTCAACGATTCTAGCAAAGGACTTTTTTTTTGTGAAAGTTGAAGTGTTCTTATTTCCAAACTTTGTTATACTTATTAGTAAATGAAACTATTAATAAACTATAAAAGTAGCATTTTAAAACCTTCCCAAAAATGCCTTCCAACCCAAAACCCTTTTTCGATCCGTCGTACGCTGTCCGCCATTTTTTACAATTTTTGTTCAACGAAAGCAAGTGACTAGATTATACAAAACCCTCTCATTTCGCTTTTTTTCAAAGAAACGTTCATGGGATATTCGAAAGTTCTTCTTGTTTTCCTCCCACTTTTGAACACAGAAAAAAGACCACGTGGCGTTCTATTTATATTCATTTTTCGAATTGGAAGGTCATCAATTCATGTCAACAATCACAGTAGACGAACACATCAACACACTTGTGTCTAACGGACAAGTCGCTCTCAAAGAGTACTTGCAACCGGAATTCACACAAGAAAAGATCGATTACATCGTCAAGAAGGCGTCAGTCGCTGCACTTGACAAGCACTGCTACTTGGCACAATTGGCTGTTGAGAGACAGGAAGAGGTGTGATGGAAGACAAAGCAACTAAAAACATCTTCGCTTGCGAACATGTCACACACGAGATGAGACACGCCAAGACCGTCGGCATTGTCCACGAGGATCCACTTTATGGTATTACTGAAGTCGCTGAACCAGTCGGTGTTATCTGTGGCGTCACTCCAGTCACCAACCCAACATCAACTGCCATCTTCAAGTCCCTCATTTCTATTAAGACTAGAAACCCAATCATTTTCTCATTCCATCCATCTGCTTTGAAATGCTCTATTGCAGCTGCTACTATTGTCAGAGATGCTGCTATTGAAGCTGGTGCACCAAATAACTGCATTCAGTGGATCGAGTTTGGTGGTATTGAAGCGTCCAACAAATTGATGAACCACAATGGTATTGCTACTATTCTTGCCACTGGTGGAGGAGCCATGGTCAAGGCCGCTTATTCATCTGGAAAGCCAGCTCTCGGAGTCGGACCCGGAAATGTCCCATCATACATTGAGAAGTCATGCAATTTGTTACAAGCCATCAACGATGTTGTACTCTCGAAATCATTTGATAATGGTATGATTTGCGCTTCTGAACAAGCCGTTATTATTGACAAGGAAATTTATGACTCTGCTGTTACTGAGTTCAAGAGACTCCACGCTTACTTTGTGAACGATGAAGAAAAGGCCAAGCTCGAGAAGTTAATGTTTGGCGTTAATTCATTCTCTGCTGACTCTGCTAATGCCAGACTCAACCCAAAATGCCCAGGTATGTCACCACAGTGGTTCGCTGAGAGCGCCGGATTCACAGTCCCAGAAGATACTTCTATCATCTGTGCCATTTGCAAGGAAGTTGGTGTGAACGAGCCACTCACAAAGGAAAAGTTGTCACCCGTTCTTGCTGTTTTGAAGGCAGAAAACACTGCTGATGGACTTGACAAAGCTGAAGCCATGCTTGAGTTTGGTGGTCTTGGACACTCTGCTGCAATTCACTCAATAGATACTCAAGTCGTTCAACAATATGCTTTGAGAATGAAGGCGTGCAGAATTCTCCACAACGTCCCATCATCACAAGGTGGAATTGGAGGAATTTATAACTACATTGACCCATCTTTCACACTTGGATGTGGTTCATACGGAGGAAACTCAGTCAGTGCAAACGTCACATATCACAACTTGTTGAACATTAAGAGACTTGCTGAGAGAAGAAACAACCTCCAGTGGTTCAGATGCCCACCAAAGATCTTCTTCGAGCCACACGCGATCAGATACTTGAAAGAACTTAAGGAGTGCTCAAAGATCTTTGTCGTCTCAGACAGAATGATGTACAAACTTGGATATGTTGACAGAGTCATGGACGTCTTGAAGAGAAGACAGAATGACGTTGAAATTGAAATCTTCATTGATGTCGAACCAGATCCCTCAATTCAAACAGTCAGAAAGGGACTTGCTGTGATGAACACATTCAGTCCAGATAACATCATTGCCATTGGTGGTGGAAGTGCAATGGATGCGGCCAAGATCATGTGGCTGTTGTACGAACACCCAGAAGCCGATTTCTTCAGCATGAAACAGAAATTCTTGGACTTGAGGAAGAGAGCGTTCAAATTCCCAACAATGGGCAAGAAGGCAAGACTTATTTGCATCCCAACTACATCAGGAACTGGTTCTGAAGTCACTCCATTTGCTGTCATCTCAGACACTGACACTGGTAAGAAGTATCCACTTGCCGATTACTCATTGACTCCATCAGTCGCTATCATCGACCCAATGTTCACAGTCTCGTTGCCAAAGAGAGCTATTGCCGATACGGGACTTGATGTCTTGGTCCATGCTGTTGAAGCATATGTCTCAGTTATGGCCAATGAATACACAGACGGTCTTGCCAAAGAAGCAGTCAAATTGGTCTTCGACAACTTGGTCAAGTCATACAATGGTGATTTAATCGCTAGAGAGAAGATGCACAACGCAGCTACCATTGCTGGTATGGCATTTGCTTCCGCATTCCTTGGTATTGCCCACTCTATGGCCCACAAAGTTGGAGCTGCCTTCCATATTCCACACGGCAGATGTGTTGCAGTCTTATTACCACACGTCATCAGATACAACGGTATCATCCCAAGAAAGTTGTCTATGTGGCCAAAGTACAACACTTATGTCGCTGACGAGAGATACAACAACCTTGCTCATTTGGTTGGAATCACTACTGAAAGCAACGCAAGCGGTGTTGAGTTGTTTGCCAAGGCTTGTGAGAAGTTGATGCTCGAAACTGAGACAATCACTGGTTTCAAGCAGGCTGGTATTAAAGAAGAGGACTGGATGTCACACGTTAAAGAGATGGCGCTCCTTGCTTTCGAGGATCAGTGCTCGCCATGCAATCCAAAGGTCCCAATGGTTGTTGATATGGAGAAGATTCTCAAGGAGGCTTACTATCCAATCGCCTAAATTGATTAATTTTTATTATTTATGTAACTATATTATTACATTTTTAGTTCAAAAATCCTTTAACTTCATATGACTTGCAAAATTCGAGTTTGTTCTTATTAATAATAAGACTGAGTGATAGTTGAAAAATACTTTATTGATATATCAAACTAAATAATTGAAAGGTCTGAACTTATTAAAAAAATAAATATTACAGTACGGAAAATGAATTTTAACCCAGGAAATGTACTTTAGCCCAAAGAAATTCCTATATTTTTCTTTAAAAACACGGGTTTTTACTAAAAAAACAAATATTTAAGAAAATTGACTTTTATATATGTATAGTTTATTATTTTAATATAACAATAGAAAATAATTAGTTTTTCTTTGGGCTAAGGTTTAATGGACCAACTGTAGGTGTAAAAAATAAGGATTTGGTCAATCGGTCAGACGTAGAAATTGTTTCAATTTTAATGTTTTTTGAGGTATTCGTTATGAAAAACTTTTTAATAAAACTAAACAACAAAATCAGTAAAAAAAAATCAATCAAAAGTGGCATCAAAGATAGACTCTTTAAACTCAATTCCAACTTTGGCGCAGTCCTCCTTCGAGGGTTCGTTGACTCCCTGTTTATTATCAGTGATCAAAAATGGATTGACCGCCGTACTGATAAGTGTTGTAACAGGCGACACCTTTGGGTCGATGTTTTCCATGTTAAACTCTGGTGGTGCTTTAATTTGTTCGTACGAGTCGTTAGGGAATGATTGAGCCAACAACGCGACTTTAGGGTGTGGGTGTTTCATCAAGAGCATGTGTTCCCACAAGAACGACTGTTCGACCTTTGTTTCTCTCAAATCAATTTTGAGTGGGGAGCTCTCTGTGAATTCTTCGGTCTCAAATGGGTCGTTGTCGGGCAATTTATACAATTCGACTGTCGGGCGATTTAACAAAAACCTGATCTTTGGCAGAGCAAAGAACATTTTCAGAGCAAAGGTGAGTAAGAAGATGATAGCACCTGTTGGTGCTTCTAAAGTCAGTCGCATTACTTTTTTTACAAATGCTGCAGATGCGTATGAAGGTATATACGAGCTGACTAAATACTTTGTAAGTCGATCGAAGAATTTTGGGATCATTGAGTTTGTCAGTAATTTCGGAGTCAAAGCGCAGTATAACAGTTCCAAGAAATTTGGTACATTCAACTCGTGATTGACCACCAAATAGTGGAAACATAGAAGCGCGTAGATTTGCGAATTTTTACCAATCTTTTGCGCGTTGATCAACAAATAGTCGTAGAAGAGAAGGGGATCACATTTGAGTGCTTTCACTTCAATCGGAGAAGATACCGACAACACCGCTTCAAGTTCTTTCAACACTTTCAATTCGTCCGTCGCGCTCTTTTCTATTGAAATCAACGCGTGCAACGTTTTCAACATCCTTGCTGTCGGCGGGAGGAGTTCGAGTGTTTTTATCACGTTTGCGACTCGGAGGGTCTTCTTTTCAACTAACGCCTTCACAGTTTTCCTGTTTTGTCAAAACCCTAATTTACAACTTTTCGTTTTTGAAAAAACAAACGGAAGCTGTTTCAGTAAAGTGCTGTTTGCTCGCAAGAAAGCTTTCTTGTTCTTCTCTGTTATTGGAAAGACTTCTTTGGCCAACACACTCTCCAAATCCATTACTTCTACTTTACACAGTTTCCTCTTGATCGAATTTATTGGTATCATTTTTACTATAAAATTAACTATATATCATTGGAACTATATTTTATGGTAATTTAATTATAATTAAATGGTTCCACAATTAAATAGTATTTTAATAATATTTCAATCAAAAGCGACTTGTATGGGTGACTCCCACAAGACGCCATTTCAATCCACTTTCTTATTGTACATATTCGTCCATGAGATGAACCATTCCATCACAAACAGAATCATAAATCCATTCTTTTGTGACTTCTCCCTCTTCAGTGCCGACAACAAAGAGTGCACTTCGATCAAGAACTCCACCACTCATTTTAATGATCTTTTCAACAAACTTCGAGTTCTCAAAGGTTTTTACCCACATGGTATACCCTTTAAAGATATCTAACACTACACCTTCCCCATTTCCCCTCTCTCCTATCATCTGTTTGTAAAGGTCTTCTTTCACAATTTTCCCCTTTTCAATACACTTGTCTATCCACAAAGAATTGAGTACCCAACACCCTGTACACATCGCTAAGATCACCTTCTTTGTCCGCACATATCCTTTCACTATCAAATGTGTTGTACTCCCACGCACATTATTCACTATTTGAATAAATCTCAACCCCCAAAGCCGCTTTTGGTACGCTTTGATCTCTTCGTCGTCGAACCCAGAAAAGCAGATCTTGACTTTTTTCTCAACCCCTTCATCGTCTTCAAAACTGTGATACTCTTCAAACACTTTGGGTTCAAGATACTCTGACCCGATCAATTCCTCTTCCTCCATCCCAAACTCCAACTTTTGTTGACTCATTCTGCCGCACACCATTTGTGCTAGATCCTCTAATCTCCGGTTCATCTCTTCTTCAATTTGTTTCTCATCTTCACCGTCATATGGCACAATATTTTGATTCAAATCCTCGCTGTCACTCTCTGATGATATCGTCGCACTCACTGATGTTTGTTTGTTTTTATCAGTATAACCACGTTCTATTTTGTCGTTCTTCTTCTCGTCATCACTGAAATCAAAGTTCTGTTGTGAGCTGTCCTTGTTCATTGTTGTCGAATCTTTTGGGTCAATTGTTTGTCTCATCACACTCTTAATGACATTCTCTTTGATTTTACTGGGCGAAGTGCTTCGTGTGAGCATTTTCGTTGTCAAGTCCAATGCAGTTTCTTTCCTTCTTGGTTTTGGTTTTAAGACTTCAAAAACATTTGGAGTTTTGATGTTCTTCGAGTCCTCTTTCTTTCTTTTGGGAACACTTTTTTTCTTTACACCTTTTTTAGTTGTTTTAACACGTTTTTTTGATTTGACTGATTTCTTCGCTTGTTCTTTTTTCTTTTGTTTTATGTCGTTTTTGCTTGTTATTGTAAAAGGTGGTGTGATACCCGTCTCATCACTTTTACTTGACGTTTCTGAGGAACTTTGAGTTGAACGTGACGACTCTTCGTTTGAAGACCTCTCACTTTCACTGTTTTTGTCACTTGAAGTGGTCTCTTTGTTTTGATCGCTAATCTCTTCACTTGAATCTTCTTCTTTTTTGGTTTGAACTTTTCTGCATTGAATTGGAGTCTTCTTTGGGTTCTTCTTAATCATTAATTCATTATTGGAATTACTCCTAACCTTTATGGGGTTGACCTTTTTGACTTGCCGTTTTGCTTTTTTGAACGATGGTTTATAGTCTGTCGTGGTGTTCTCCAATGGGTCTGTACTTGGTGGATTTGAAATTACTTCATAAACGTCTGAGCACTGAGAACTGTGGGTTGTGTCATCTATACCTAGCTTCTTTTCATAGCGTTCTGTGCGTTTCAAAGTGTTTATCATGTCTTCTAGTTGATCAACAAGACTATCATCATTCTTCATTACTAATGTCAAAAGTGTATTTTAAGTTATCATTTCTTATGAATATAGTTCTCATTTTATTCTATTTTTATCTGCATGTATTATCGAAGACTATATATTATAATTGTATTTACTAGTCATATTAATTTTAATTTTGGCAATTTGATAAAAAATATCATTCTTATTTATTTTCAATATCGATCCAAAAAATGTATTAAGTCACTAATAATTTGTCAAGCTAATCTTTTTGAGCTTTTTTAAATGAATTATTTTTGTTTTATTTGTAAATCTAAACTTTACCATTATTTATAATTAAAAAGATATTTTTTTAAAATAAATTTTATAGAATTTTTTAATTATATAATTTAGTAAATAATTAATTATATTTTTTGTTTTTATATATATTTATATATATATAATAACAATAATAAATTAGTTAAAATAGTAAAATATCATTGAATATAATATTTTATCCAATTATCTAGAAAGGAATAAAACAACACATTTTTGTAATTAATTTTTATCAAACTTTTTAATTATTATACAGGACATGTTAAACCATCACTCAGTGACGGGAAATTTTTTATTGAGAAGATGTTTTTTTTGAACAACAATTTGTTTGTTCATTTAAATGTTAGTAATTTGTTTAGTTAATAAAACTAAACATATACTATTATTATGTATATACCATTTAATAACTACTCTTTACATATCAACTAAACTTTAATAAAACGTAAGTTAGTGCAATTGTTAACTATCGTTTCTTAAACAGTATCACAATTTACCATTATATTTAGTTATATTAACCATTGATATAGTACAGGCTTAATAGTATAAAACCAAAAAGAATAGTGACTGTAAATAAATAAATATACATTTTGCTATATATTTATTTATATATAAGATAATTTGAAACTATAATTAATAGTATCAAAAAAAATCATAATAACCAACAAATAAACACTTATAAATGAAAATAACCAACACCCCGTCCAAACAGTCGAGTTAAAATAAAAACAATAACAACATGGAACAACAGAGTTACGGTCTTGCATACATTCGAGTCCACTCTCTTGCGTTATCTTCGAATTTTCGTTTGTCTTGTCTGAGTACATTTGCGACGTCTGGGTCGAGTGGATCCGATGGGTTTGGGTCTGTGAGTAACGACGAGATCGACAACAACACTCTCGACAGAGTAAGTGCGGGACTCCACTGATCTTTTAAGATGTCGAGGCAAATATTGCCGTTTTTATTAATATTTGGGTGATAAACTTTTGTAGTGAACGTGACGCGGGGCGCTTTGAACGGGTAATCGACTGGGAAATGGACGTCCAAAAAGAAAAGACCCCCTTGATAAGGCGAGTCGTCTGGTCCTGTTATAGTTGCTACCCAATGGAAAAGGTCATCACCGACTGGCCCTGCACTACAGTTGCATGGGGGATCCTGTTGGATCTCTCGCAACTCTTTTTGAATTCGCTTCATCGCCATAGCTGTTGACTATCTACACTTTTACAGTTTTCTTGTTTTTCCGCTTAGCGAGTGTAGACACGAGTCGATGATTTGGCTTAACCCTAATACTTTTATTTTTATATACGCAAGACTAATAGGCTCCTTGAAACTCATCAATCGGGATCTCTTTGAAGTTTGACTTTGAAAATCACTCATCACTCAATTCTCATCTTCACCAACTTAATTTATTAAAGATTATTATTTTTAAAAGTACTACATTATATTGTATATTAACTAATTGATATAAATTCAAAAGTCTGATAAATAAACTTAGTTTTTAATAAAAACAAATGAATTGAAAAAACTTTTTTGTAAAAATAAATTTGTTTTTCTTCAAAAAAGTGTCTTTGTGATTACAGTTGGTCCATTGAACCTTAGCCCAGGAAATTAACCTTAGCCCAAAGAAAAACTAATTATTTTCTATTGTTATATTAAAATAATAAGCTATACCGATATAAAAGTCAATTTTTTGAAATATTTGTTTTTTTTTAGTAAAAACCCGTGTTTTTAAAGAAAAATATAGGAATTTCTTTGGGCTAAGGTTCGTTTTCCCTACTGTAATACAAAAAAATACTTATAAATTAAAAAAAAACTATAAATATACCATTTCCATTCCACTTGGAAAACGGAAGAAATGAACTATTTTATTGACATTCCGTTTGCTTAGCCAAAGGCGTCGGCGGGAGTTTTTTTGAAGGTGCAACATGTAAGGCCTGTCCCGATGAATGTTCGGGGAGTGATTTTGTCATGCACAACCCACTCAACCCACCATGATTAATAATAGTTTTTCGCGAGTCCAGTGGGTTTAAAACAGCCTTAAAAGTTCCTATTTTCGAAGTTCTTGATTCGACAAACACCGATCCAGTCTTTGCGTCATTCTTGTATTCCTCAATTATTGCAAAATGTTTTTAATAACAAACTGTCCCACTGAAAAACAAGGACGTCTCTCGCATATCTTCAACAACTGTATTGTTATGCTCTGGTTCGACATCTTCATGTATTCCAGTGTAAAACGCAAGTGTTTTCATGATCCTTCGCATCGAAGTTTCCTCTGCACTGTCTTCCATTTTCTTCATTTGAGCCGTCGCATCTGCTTGTTTCCACCTCTCGTCGTTGTCGTACTGATTTGCAATTTCGTCGATATCTTCCATTTCACAATCATCACACCGACGATCAAAACTGTGTTTCCCAATTATAAAGGAGTCGCACGACTTACATCGCAAACACTCCGTATGAAACACCAAATTCTTTCCATATGTCACTACAGCATGCTCCATCTCTATTTTCTTCCGACACGCCGCACACGTTTTCCACTCTCTGGCAATATCCCTCAATTTCACAAACGCCGGTTTTTCCTTCGACTTAAAAAGTGGGCAGTCGACAAATATTTTTCGCCTGAAATCCGGCGTCTTCAAGAAGTAATTTTTGCGATGGTCGATGAAGCGCTCAAACATCTGACTCTGTCCAAAAGCAGTCAAGAAGATCTGCATGTGGACGGGACTCCCCTTAATGAACTTCTCTTGATTGAAATTGCACACCCCGTTGTCCTTCTCGTAATACGCAAAATACGTTCCAAAGAGATCCAAAAAAAGTTGACTAAAGCAGTTGCATATCAAGTCATCTGCATTCTCCATGTCATGTTCCACTATATTCTGGAGCTGATTTATCAGCCTCCCAGTCTCTTTAAAAGCAAAGAGATTGAGGCCCTTTCTTTTCTTTGTAAATTTGCCGTTGTCTAAGTCAATGACATTAATATCAAGACTGTCGCCATACAAACTTTTAATGGCTTTTAATCCACCAGGTGTCACACCAAATAACATCGGCGTGGGACACCCAGCAAATCCAGCAAAAGACTCGTCGACTGGGAGGATGGGAATTAGGACGCCATGCCACTCAAATGGACTTAATACACGAAAAAGAGCTTGGATGACAGGCATCGCCTCACCTACACCATTCACATAAAACATAGTTGTTTCTTCAAGTAAAATTCTCCCAACTAACTCCACAAAAGTCGATACCCCAAATCGGAAAAGGGTGGGCAACACGGGGATGTCTGTTTGATGAAAAAGAACAGTACCATCACTCAATGTCAAATTCTCTTTAGAACTTGGAAATGGGTAGTCTATCAACGCATTCACCATTTCTTTGAACGCCTTGATGCCTCCATTCGCATATACATTCTGAAGTTTTGGAAGAAATCGTAGATAAAGTGTGGAGTACCTTCCAGTCACTAATATTATGATGTGTGGGATTTCCTCTTCAACCCAGCGTTGTACAAAGTAGTAGTACCTCTTCCCATTTTCAGTTGTTGAAACAAAAGAGTAAATTGATGGTGGCGTGTTAAGTATTTGACTTTTTGATGTGACTTTAGGCTTATCTGGGTATATGAAGTACATCAGATTTGCTATAGAAGTCTCGTCTTTTGGTCGTAAAGTGTAGTCCGTGTTGATTTGGAGAGGGTCGGATTCAGTAGATGTTATTCGAATGAAATACGTTTGTAACAAAAATTCAGGAGGAAAAGTGGGGGAGAGCGCCATCGATTCTTTTGTGTCGGTTGTGGACATACTTGTCGGTTTTTAATATTTGCAAAAATCGATGTATTTTGAAGTTCTGGCCTTACACTATTGGTCTTTTTTTTTGCCTCTTTTGTTCATTTTTTTTATAATTCTTTTATCATTATTTTATTATATAAAATGTTTTCATTTCATTTCGCTTATTATTTAAAATTTAATGATTGTATTAGTAAATACGACATGTAAAATAACAAACTCTATATTATTATAAAAATAACTATAATTTAATAATTTTGTTTAAATGATTTTCAAAATGGTTTTTTGCATTGTGATTGGACTGTTTTTCAACTCAACATTTATCAATTCATTTTAAAAACTATTTGTTAAATTAATTAAAAATGAACAAATTTACAGGAAAAAAAGAAGTTAAACAAAATGAATAATAAATGAAGTAATTACCATTATCTTATCGAGTTAAAAACATCAACCTGTCATTATAAGAATTATTTATAAAATATAGTTTATTATTCCATTCAACATATTTATCACATATAATACAAGTTCGATCTTATTGATTGTTTATGATGATCCCTAATAAATTCAACAAGACAACAGTTTTGTCTTGTTGAATCCCCAACTTTTTTTAAAATTATAATTATCTTGCTCTATCACGTTATAGTTATTCTACAATACTAAAAATTTAGTAATATAATATAGTAAAAGTAAACAATTTAAATGTTATTACAACTATATCTCATAACCCATTGTACAAATTGAAAAAATTACCAACAAATTCTATTTTGTAATCTAATTTGGGGACAACACAAAAAAAGAAATATTTTAATCTATGATTTACTATTTATATTTTTTTTCGTCATTATAGTAGAAATAACAACAGACTATTTTGTCAATATGTATTTCCATCATTCATTTTATTCAAAAGAATAAAATGTACAATTAAAAAAATGATAATTATTTAAAAAACAAAATATGATGTTATTATAAATAATTATGTGTCATAAACAATGATAAAGTTCCTTATTTTTGTTTTGGATTAAACATGTTTTTCACAATTTAAGTAAATAACGTGTTTAATCCAACAAAAAAAACAATTTCATTCATTTTTGATTTTGAGGAATTGAACAATGAACTTCTTTTTATAAGTGTTTGTATATTGTCGAGTTGTTAAAGAATATTTTTCCTATTATATTATTAGTATGCACCAACGTTAGAAAAATATTTATTTTTGTCTTTTTAAGACAACTCTGATCAAAGAGAATACAACTTTATTATTATAATATTAAATTTTAATAATAATAATTCGTAAAAGACCGAAAGAAGACACAAAATAATTCATTGTATTTTAACATAGTCACTCCCTTTTCTTCACTTTTTGTACTAAATCGGTTTTTCCCGCTCTGCTATACATTCTTTACGTTCTATTGAAGCTTTAATATTCTTTTGAAGTCGTGTTAAATGTTTCTTTTTATTCAATATGCTTAACTCCAACTCTTTCATTTTCTTTGCATAAGAGTTTGCTTCAAGAGTTGACGTGGCCATTTGTAGTTTGGTGTCGAGAATCTCTCTTTCGAGTATTAAACTTTCTATTTGGCGCTCAAGTTCAACTTGTTTGTATCTACGACTCCGTTCTCCGACTTTCATAGGGCAGTGTTTCATTAAAAACATGCTCTCCGAGTCTATTTGTGTGTAACTTAGTGGGTTGACTGGGCGGAATGCAGAAACGTGCTTCATCATTATAATGTTGCATTTCAGTTCAAGCTTAAAGATATCGTATTTTTATTACATCTGTATTTTTCAATATTTACTTTACTGTGTAAATTACATTTTTTATTTCAATTTGCTTAAATGTGTTTAATTTAATAATCTATTTTATTAAGATAAAACGTACAGAGTCTGTGAACTCTTGAATCCATAGAATTCGGCAAATTTATAAAAAACGAAAACATGAACAAATAAACTGTATTTTCTATTTCTGGTTTTAAATACACTTTTGCTGTGATACAACCTATATTGAGTTGGATGATTATTAAAAGAACGGGATTTTAAAGAAAAGTTGAACAAATGATATTTCATTTGTCAATGTTTTGACCTTTTTCGTTGTTATTATTATGATTGTCAAGGACAGCTGCGTCTTTTTCTAAAAAAAATTGTCGTTTGAAAACAAAATCGTTAAAGTATAGAAATCAATTCACATTTTTTGTGGTTTACAACTTCCAATTGATGGTGTTAATCAAAAGAGAGTTATTGTCGTGTGGATTATTAAATATCTTTTGCCGAAATTGTATTGTTTTAATTAAAGAAGTTACATTTTTTTCAATTTGAAAAGTCTTTTTTAATTGATAATTTTTTCCATTGGTAATTTACTATTTGTTATACAACGTCGAATATTGATTCAATTTGTAATCATAATATTCATAATAATGATTAAATGGGTCTAGGAACTGAATACAAATAATTAGACATTTTAAGCGTTGTTAATCGAGAAGTTGACTTTATTTTGTATGTTTGAGTAAACAAGTTTTTCATTCCACGTTATTTAAAAAAGCTTTTAAAACCTCAAACTTTGTTGAACCAAAAATTGAAGTCAAAAGCATGATAACAGTGAAGATGACATAAAATATGCGTCATATTCTTTATACTGTACCAATCACCGAGATAAAATAGTCGGAATTTACCAAAGTAATGATACACGAAGTTTATTGGTTAAAGTTTATAATATTGTTTTACATTATAATATAAACAATATTATATTATATTATATTATTCACTGTATATGAAAAAAAACTGAACAAATTTGTTTTGTAATTTTTCGAAAACAATACAATAACATTTAATTTAAATAAATGTTATTTTAAATAAAAAAAGCAGTATTATTTATTTATAATATTATAAGAACAACACTAATACATTTTTAGAATTTATTAAATATAATTAAGTAACTAATATAATATAGTTATTCAAATTTTGAGTTAAAGATTTTTTTTGCCTCAAAGTGGGAAATGAAGCATATTTTTTCCATATAAAAGAGAATGAATAATAATAATATAGTAGATGTCACTCCCTTGTTGTGAATATTGTCATGAGACGGATGGCCTAGTCACGTGTGAGTGCGGCAGACACTTCTGCAATGGAAAAGTGAGTAACATGAGCGACTGTCAAATTCTAACACATTTGAAAATGAAACAACACTTTTCAGTTTCTGTTGGTGGTAAGAAGCTCATATGTAAGAAATGCAACGAAGAAACAAACGTATTCAACTTGCGATATCGAACCGGTGAGAACGCATTTATATGTCAACACTGCTTAGAACAAGAAAATGAAGTCACACAAACCATTTACTCAAATTGTGTTGTTCAAGAAGGTTCATTCACAACAAACAACTTAGATGTTGGCGACTCATTCAGAATTATTTCAAAAGACTGTATCAATGTAATCGAAAACCAAATCGATACATCTGACGATGAAGTTCTGATTAAAGATCAGTATAATGATATATCTGAATACTGTGAAATATATCAAAAAGTTTCTGGCTTTGAATATGACAAACCTAATGAACTTGAAGAGTGTATGTATTACACTAAAGAAGGCATCGTTACTTTTGAGGTAATGCAAAATTTATTGAATATCCATTTAATCCAGAAAAAGGCGATTGGTGGGTTAGTTAATGGAGACACTTGTATCTTAACATGTGGTGGTAATAAAGGTTTATTAAATGAATACAACTTATATAACATCCAACGCTCCTCGTTATACAAAGAGACTAAAGGAGCATTTATGTGCAATGTTATTAACATTTCTTCAAAAACAATTGTACTCCGTTTTAAAAACATTATTTTTCCAAAACAAGATGATGAAATACAAATACAAGAAGAAGAACAAACTAATATAATAAGTGAACAAACAATACAAACCGTGAAAGACATCATTCAAAGAACAAAACTTGTTCGTGGGTTCTTTTTACTCAACTCAAAAGGAAGCCCATTCACAAGGTCTTTGAAATGCTTTGAGGAAAGAGAAGAAGACGAATATTACGCTACAATCTTAGGGAAAGACGTCCAAACTTCGAGATATAAAACTAATGATGAGTATTCCCCAAGTGGTGAAATTAACGAAAAAAAATTGTCGTGTTTTAATGCCAAATTCAATTTGATTAATGTTAACCCACCCGAACTCGTGAACCCATGCCCCCTGAATGAATCACAAAAATTGGCTGTTGTAAACGCACTGAATAACAGTGTATCCCTTATCATTGGTCCACCCGGAACCGGCAAAACATCAGTCGCAGTCTCGATTGTGCAACACTTAAAATTGTATAAACGCATTTTCACAAGTTATTTAGATAGCCCAATTCTTGTCACGGGGTCCAGTAACAACGCAGTTGATGTGTTATGTCTTAAATTGATAGACGCTGGACTTTCTGTTGTTCGTGTAATCAGTGATGAGAAAATGACTGAAATTCCAGACAAGTTACGAGAGTCTTCATTACTTAAAAGGGCGTTGGACTATTCCATAAAGTCTGGAGTGACTGGTTATATTATTGAGAAACGCAGACGCATCACTGCACAAGAAATATTATCTGAACAAGTATGTGATGAAGATATAGTTGAAGCTAAAAAACGTGGAGGATACGTTACAAATGAAGAAGAAGTTGAATGTCAAAGTATAATGCTAAAGAAATATAATTCATATTTGACAACAAGTGAATTAAAAACGTATGAAAACACACAACGACAATATTTAAATTACAGAGAAAAACAAAAGAACTTGCGTTATCCGCTTTCGTTTGAGGATTATGTAAAAAAGTACAACGATCGGGCATACACTTTGTTAAAGAGGATTTCGACACCAATTAGTAAAGAGGACATTGACAAAATCAATCAATACATCAACCAGAATATGGAAAACATTTTTAAAGAAGTTGATTGCGTGTGTTCTACATTGACATTATGTACACGAAAGATAATTTTAAACCAACATTTTGTGGCTTCTATTATTGACGAAGCAGCTCAGTCACTCGAGCCAGAGACTCTTGCTGGCGTAATGAACGTAAGAAAAGCTATATTGATTGGTGATATTCAACAACTGGAGCCTTGTGTCACTTCACCGAAGGCAAAGGCACTTGGGTTTGATAAGACGATGTTTGAAAGACTTCTGGCTTCCGAGTCGGTTCCAAGGACTTTACTCAATACACAGTATAGAATGCACCCATTCTTATCAACGTTTTCAAACAAAGTGTTTTATTCGTCAAGGCTTATTGACGGAGTCACCGCGATGGACAGAAGTGACCCAAATGTCGTACCTTTTATTTTCAAAAACGTTAAAACCCCATTGATGTTCATTAACTGCGATGGGAGTGAATACATTGGGAATTCAGGGTCAAGCTTTGGGAATGTCAGTGAGTCGAAAATAGTCAACAAATTAGTGCAAGGCCTTAAGGAAAAGAATGTTGCCGACGATAGAATTGGTATAATTTCTCCATATACAACACAAAGAGATTTGTTGTCTACAATTTCTTCGACAATTAAAGTTGCCAGTGTAGATGGGTTCCAAGGAAACGAGAAGGATTACATCATTTTTTCCACTGTTCGATCGAACAAAGAAATTGGAATAGGGTTTGTGTCCGATTATAGAAGACTCAATGTCAGTTTGACTCGAGCTCGGCTTGGGATGTACATAGTCGGAAACGTTGAGACTTTGGCGCATAATAGGGTGTGGGGGATGTTGTTTAATTATCTCAATAAGAATAACTGTATCTTTAAAAATGAAAACAACACACTAGTACAATATACACCAAGCTGTGTAAGTAAAGAAACGATATACAATTCCCCGTTTCAAATAACGTACCGAGTCGACAACGGTGACGAAGATGATTTCAATGGAAATGATGAAATAACACCTCTTTTATTAAAACCGGAAGAAGGAAAATTTTCCACAAAAAAACAATTTATTTATTCTCATAAGGAACGAATGAAAGAGAAGAAACAAGAAGACAAACGCGTTAATCTTAAAGCAAAAATAACTGTCGAAATACCACAAATTCCACATAAAGCACAAATACCAAAAATTGATTTTGTTCCACAAGAAGTAGTTAAACCAAAGTTTAAAGTAAAGAGTCAATTACCACCAAAAGATGTCAAATGCGACGATATAGATTTGGACGAGCTTGCCTCTATGGTCAAAAACACAACAGAGACGCCCTTTGCAAGAAAAAGTTGTGAAAGAAATTCTTTATTGTGAAAGACTTTGAGGATAGAATTATATTATTTAAATTAT